CAGGGGCTGGTCTCACTGCTGCCTCGCTTAGGTAGGATTGGGCGGTAGAGACATGGCTCTGTGGCCGTTCACCTCTTCCAGGGAGCCTTCCCTGATGTCCTCGGCTGACCTGCAGCGCTGACTACGTGTACTGTCTACTTGGCATCTATATTGCTTTCCGTCTGCCCGCCTCCTCGGGCAGACTCGAGTCCTCTGCGGGCAAGGGAGCCCTCTAAAGCTTCCACGTGGCCCTTCTGGTGGCGTGCCTTCATTCCATCATTGCCCTCCTCGTCCCCCTCTTCCCAGCCGGTGTTCACTCGACTTGCCCGGCCCTGGGCCGGTCTCCAGAGGCAGAGATGAACCACACACGGTCCCTGCCCCCAGGGCTCCCAGCCCAGCAGCTGCTCAGTGAGTGTATGTGGTCTGACCATGTCCCTCTCTGGGGGTCTCTGCTCCCTCCCCTCCTCTGGGCCACCAACTCTTCCTGGGGCTCACCAAGGAGTGTCCGTCTGACCAGCGGAAGTCCCCTTCGATGGTCCTGTCGTTCAGGCCGATCCACTGGTAGTCTTGGGCGTTGTCTAGAGAGAGGTGTGGGTGTTGGGCACGGCGCTGGACACCCTGAGGGTGTCTGAGAAACCGAGGCAGAGAGGATGGAGGGGTGGCAGGGGGTAGGCGGGCTCCTGGGAGCACGTCACCTACTTCTAAGGCCCTGACAAGGCTCTCCGCACATGCACGTCCGGAGTGCACTTCGGCCACCACCCAAGCTGGTGAAGACTGGTGACAGCCACGGGCTTAGTCTGGCACTGACTGTGGCACGTGGTGGGCTGCCTGTGCGGCCCTGGTTGCAGAAACACCCTTCCGCCCCTCCCTGCACCGCCCCCCTGCCTCCCACCCCTGCGGCCTCTCTGGGTCCAAGTCTGCTGACGTCTGGCGGGTGAGGCCCCGCCGCACTCACTGTTGACAAACTCCTGCTCCTCCGGGGTGACAATGCTGCTCAGGTGTGACTGCTGTGCCCGACACCGGCTCTCCGCATCCACCCAGCTCTCGCGGTCGGGGAAGTAGCGGTAACAGTGGCCCTGGAACTTGGTCCAGCCCTCCTCACACAGCTCTTGGTCTGCAACACAGGTCGGGGGCTTGAAGAGAGAGGCCCCGGGGCCGACTGGGCGTGCCCAGTGCCGCCAGTCTTTCGCCAGATTCCTACATCCACCCGGCCTTCAGTGTCCGTCCTTGAAGGGAGAGGCCCATACGGATGAGGTTGAAGTTGGAAGCCAGGAAGGCCTGGCCCCGGAGCCCCAGAGCCTCTGGGCACATCTCCACCCTTTCTCTCCCTGATGTCGCCCCCCACCCCCACCCCACCCCAGAGCTTTTCTGCTCTGCAGGGCTGGAGAAAAGAGGTGGCGAGGTGGGAGGTGTTGAGGTTGAGGCCCAACATGGGTCAGAGGCTCCCAGGAGCCCCGGGGAGGGAAGCAGGGAGCTATAGGGAGTGTGTGAGGGAGGCAGGGAGCTGTAGGCAGCGCCAGGGGCATGAAACGGCACCTCGGGTGGGGACAGAGGGACAGAAGTAACTCTGCTTTGGGTTTAAAGATGACTCAAAGCTCTAAGTCTGTCGATCTGAGCTGTGCCCAGGATATCTGCCTCTTTCCCAGAGGAGGAGGTAGCCAACCCGGGGTCCGTGACCCAGGGGCCCCGGCTTTTTATTTAATTTCTGGAGAGCAGGTGAAAAGAGGGAGGAGCTTCTCTCCTCACAAACCTATGTGGGTAATGGGTTCTGAGTTCAGGGGAAGGGACTGGTTTGGAGATCTTGGAGCAGGCTGAGGGGACGGACGGAGGCAGGGGCAGGAGCCGGCTCTTGGGAGTGCGTCTCCCCATCTCTGCCCCCAGCGACATCTCACTGGTAGCCGGAAATTGGTCCTGGCGGGAGTGTTATAAACCTGGGAGATTGGCAGGTGCTATGCGTCAGGGCTCCTGCTTCCTCTTCAGGAGTCAGTTGCTAAATAAACAGCAGCCAGCACACCAGCAGACAGAGGGAATTCTAAGACCCCCTCCTCCTCCTTCTCCTGGGGGTGGGGAGGGCTGCTGCTCAGGCCTGGGGGCCAAGTGCAGGGCCAGGAACCCCTCAGGCCGAATGGAGCCTCCTTTGCTGGGTGCTACCGATAGTCTGGCTGACCCAGGATGGGGGGGGGACCGGGACCTGAGGGCAAGGAGGCTTAGGCTGAGGGGTGGGTGCTTGGCAGGACTGAAAGACAGACACGCGGGAGAAGGCAGAAAGAGAGGACAGGCAGAGGCCAGCAGCCTGAGGAGAAGAGGTCAAGCAGCAGGAGGGCTGGGGGGAAGGTCACCGGTCCCCTGCAGCCAATTGCTTCTCCATGGAGCGAGGCCAAGGTCTGGAAAGAAGGTGCCTGCAAAGAGGTAGCTCGGCGTCCGGGGGAGACCAGAGACCTCATTCCAGGGCTTGGAAGGGCTGAGGGCCGAGCTGAGCAGGCAAACCCGGAGGCCACAGCTGCTCTGGGAGGGTGCGGGGCATGCAGGATGGTGGCTCTGGGGAGACACTGACCGAACTGCAGGGAGCCCGGAAGGAGCAGCAGGGCCAGGAGCTGAGCCATGAAACACCCGCGGGACAGAACCGCGAGAAGAGACGGAGCCTGGCTTGGCTTAGCTGGGCGACCCGGCACCGTCTCTGTGCCCCGCCAGAGTGCAGAGCCCCGTGGAGACCCTGCCTCCAGTCTGGCAGAGCACCTCCTTTCCTGGTCTGGCATCTAAGAGCTGTTGTCCGTGAGGACGCGCCAGATGCTTGTCCTCTGCGTAAATATTTTGATATCCTGGGGAGAGAAGCCTTATGACTCTCCCCTCCCTCCCAGCCCCCGGCCAAGACCCCATGCACCAGTTTCCTGGGGCGGAGGTGGAGAGTGGGAGGCGGCAGGGAAAGAAGAGGGTCCGGGCCTTTTCTTCCAGAAGCCTTAAGTTCCTCCACCGGCCTGTAACCTTAGCGGTGCCTCCGAGGAACATGCAATCCGAAACTCCTCCCCACCCTGCTTAGGACCAAAGGGAGATTGCCCAGGGGTTTCATCTGCTTTCTGGAAGTTTCTGGGACATTTAGCTTGAGGGGTCATAGAAAATGGTTTTGAACCCCGGCACGCTTCTAGTTCTGTGGGGGTTACTGCAACTAGTAACTACAAGCCCCATCTCCCCCTTTCTGAGTGGGGATGGCCCTGAGATCCTGGAGGGCAGGGGGCAGACCAGGAGCACCAGAGGCGAGAGAGCGGAGGGCTCCAGCCGGCCCTGGGAAGTTCCGGGCACACAGCTCCCCTGGCAGAGCCCGGCCCAGGTGCAGGAGCAGGGGGTTGGCAAGGCCCAGGAGGGGGAAACTCAGCCCCTGCCCCTTGCAGTGAGGCTCTGTCGTCTTTGGCCAGCCTTTTGCCTTGCGGGAGTGGGGGGAAAGGAAGCATGGGACGGAGTGGCACTGACTGACATGGCAGCTGTCATGGTGGTGGTGGCAAGGTGACGGGCAGCAGTCCCTGCTCAAGCATGACTTGAGCCTGCTGGTGACACGGGAGCTCTCAGGCAGACAGAACACAGCTCTTGCCACAGAAGAGAGAGGCGGCGTGGCCAGTGTGGCATGGTGGCTCCCGAGGCCACAGAGGGGCCGCGGAGGTCCCACGGGCAATAGAGCGGGCAGACGCATGCTCATGACTGCTGGAAGATCTTTGGTGTCATTTGGAGCGAGAACCAATTAATTACTCCCACCCACAGCTTCCTTCAAGACAAGGGCACGGGATCAGCTCTGTCCTCTTAGTCTGATGCATGCACCGACCTCGATGCGGTCTCAGCAGGTCTGGAAGCCCTGAAGAAGGTTAGTGTTTTAAAGGTCCCCCAGAGCCCCACCTTCCAAAGTGCAGGCTGGCCCGGCCTGCGTGTCTCTCCTGCGGTCAGATCAGCCAATGCCCCGGAGGAGGGTTGCCACAACGAACAGCAGGAAGAGTGGGAGTGAGTGAGGCAGACTTCTCGGTCGTGGCCCCTGAAATGGCTGTCTGGAGGGACCTTGGGGGCCCCCAGCCAGGGCCCAGAGCCTGTGGTTAGAAGGGAAGGGTGAAGGAGAAGGAGGGGGTGCAGCAGTTAGTAACATTAGCTGAAGCCGAGACGGCCGTACCAATCTCACACAGGTCCCCTCGGTAGCTGGGAAGGCATAAGCATGTGAAAGAGTCGATGGCGTCCACGCAGGTGGCTCCATTCAGACAAGGGCTTGAGAGGCACTCATCAATGTCTGCAAGAAACCAAGGGCCACCATTAGGACTCCTGCCAGCAACTCCAGCTTTGAAAGCATTGTAGGTTCTTTACGGGTGGCCAGCCCTGCTGCTCTCCAGAGCCCTGGGAGGGGTGGCTGGATTTCCTAAGAACTGTTGCTGCTGCTGCTGCTGCTGCTGCCGCCATATTGGAGCGCTGAGCCAAAGATCCAACAAGGGTTTTCCTGGATGTGTGTGATTCTCGACGGGCAAGCTGGGAACACCGCAGCCAGGTTTCCCAGTGGTGAAGAGATCTGGTGCTTCTGAAGGCAAACACCCATTGCACGGCTCCTCCAAGATGCCTTCTCCGGTGACTATTTCAAGAGGCTTTGGGGTCTGAACCGGCTCTGAACATGGTGCTGAGCGAGGACCCTGGAGGTCAAGTTCTTGAAGTCTGGTTAGAACTCTTTTCTTTTCCTATCTTCTCTGTAGTTATGAACCAAGGCAAGAGGGCAAAGCCATGCATGGAGTACGAGGACAAAAAGCTGAAGTGGTCTGCAGAGTACTGAGCCAGGAGAGAACGGCACCATGGGATATTCTCATGAGACTCCTTCAGTTTTGGGGGGTTGCAGATACCATCGTTGTCTTCAGTAAATCAGATTCTAGAGTATCTAACAAAGATGAAGCCAGCATCATTCTCTTCACGGGAGGAAGAGAAACCAGCCCAACATCTTCCCATGTTCCTTCCAGCTTAGGGCCTTAGAACGTGGACACCTCCAGTGAGTCACAGTATCTAGAGGGGCTCCATTCTGGCCAGTGGGAAACCAATGTTTGAAGCTGGGGAGCCACTGGGGCACCTGTGTGGCTCAGTGGGT